CAGGCAGTCCCTGACTGGGGACGCGCCGCGGCTTCGGTGGGAAGTACCATTGACCCTGGTAACCTGCTTGCCCTGGTTGTGGAGGTTCCCCCCCGGGGCCTGAAGGCGCTCGGGGGGGTTCCTTAAGGTCGTGGAGGGCTGGCGCGTTGCCGAATTGGCGGGCAAGGATGTGCGGCGGCATTCCTGTGGCACGGACGTCGAGCTGGTTGTGTGGCCTGGGGGGGGTGGGGACACCTGCTGGACAGGCAGCATGTGTCGGAGTCCCTCTTATTGGTGCTGTATGCACACGTCCAACTGTTGCACGAGTAGTCCGTGGACCAGTCCATGAGTGTACGCAGTCCGCTGCGGCCGCAGTCTGGGCACGTTGGTTGGCCCGAGGTGCCGAGCTGCGTGTTGCGGCGAGCCGCACAGTACTGACAGCATTGGAATCGACACTGTAGGCAAGACCAGCGTCTTGGTAAAGGCGGGAGCGCATGCTCATTTGTGCCTGGGTCGTCTGGGTGGGGTCGCGGGCGATCCCACAAGGGCCAGACGTCAGCAAACCAGGATTGGCCTGTAGTGCGGACAACCTCGGCGGGGAGGCGAGCGTCCTCGGCATGGCACCTGATCCACTGGGGCCCCATGTCCGCTGGTACCATGACGGTGCGCCAGGTGTCGTCCGCTTTGGCGTGGACTTGGGTCGGTGCCCAGAGCTTAGTAGTGGTGTCGCCGTGGTCGTGGTGGAGGATGACCCAGCCGTCCCGCCCCGCCACCGCAGAGTCAATAACGCGGTGGCCCATGACTGTCGTCCCCCACGGTAAGTAGGCACCATCGTGGTGATCACCAGGGTCAAGCCAGACCTCTATGCCAGGGGCATTGACACGGGTCCGCACATCACGGACGTGGTAGGCGAGGACGTGGTAGGCAGTCGGCTCCTCTTCCGTCACAATGTGTTCCCACGTCTCGATGCCACTGTTGTCTGAGGTGGAGTTCCCGCCACTCTGTCGTGACGAGCGAGAGGCAGATCGTCGTGGGCGGGCACGGCCTCGGGCGAGGGCGGCGGCCGCGCTGATGAGGGAAGGCGTACGGCGTTCGTCGGCTTCAGATGACGTCGATGAGCGGTCTGGACTGTGCGCCAGGGCTGCGCCTGACTTGTACGTGCGTGGTGGGCCCGACGCGGCCCCAGGGCTGGAGCCGCTGGGGCGCGACCCGCGTGCGTCAGGGTGCCCCCGCACGGGGACAGCTTGCAAGCCAGTGTACACCAGGTCGATGAGTGATTTCGGGTCCAGCTGGAGCATGTGAAGCGAGACGCGTGGGCGGGGCTGGTTAGGGTCATCCCTGGTGGCTGCTGCCGTGTCGTAGTGCTGTTTGGCCCATACTCGCGCTGCCTCTGGCGAGTATAGTGCCTGCGGCGGTGGCCACGCTGCCGCGATGGCTGGTCTGCGCCTGGTGCTAGCTTCCTGGTCGTGAGCTTCAGCCGCCTCACGGAGATCTGGATGATCGTAGCCAGCGGTGTGAAGGGCGTGCGCGCAGTCGCCCATGCCATAGGCGTGTGGTAGGGCACGGCACCTGGAGGCAGCTTCTGCGGGGGCACACCAGTCCATGCGGATGAGGAGGCTCAGGACCCGAGGGTAGATGAGGCGCGCTCCGTGGGCTTCCCCTTTCACGTAGTTGTGCCTGTTTTCCCCGCGCGGTGGTTGGGTGGCCTCGCACATCCAGAGTGCGATGGGTCCCCACGCGAGGGTGTCGTCTTCGAGACTGTAGGGCGGGTGGGGCGGCATTGCGTACCACGCGGCCAGCGAAGGGTGCACGCTCGCGTACGTGCGGCCAACGTTGGTGCAGTTCGGCCCTTCGCTTCACGGCGGGGACCTGGCAAGAGGTGCCCTCCACTGGCAGCAAGACGGGCCGCAAGGTCGCCGCGGGTCCCATGCCAGAAGACAGTGGGCGCGTCGGTGGTGGGTTGGCGGAGGTCCCACGTGAGGTATGGGAAGATTGTCTCGCCTGAGTTCCCGCCCGAGTCTTCCAGCACCCAAGTGAGGCGGTTCGGTGGCCTCGGCATGATGTCCGTCCACGGCCCCAGCTGATTTTTCTTTTTCTTTTTCTTTTTTTTTTTTTTTTTTTGTGTTTTTCTTTTTTTTTTTTATTTTTTTTTTTTTATTTTCTTGGGGCCTTCGTGGCAGTCTTCCTTATTTTTTTTTTTTTTTTAGGTTTTTTTTTTTTTCTTCTTTTTTGCTTGGAGTGTTGGATCATGAGTAAATCGAGGAGGGTCGTGGAGTCGCAGAGCGTCTTTGATGTCCTCTGTAGACACGCCACTGTTACCTAGCGCAAAGCCGTTTTGATACAGGGCGTTAAGTATGCTCTTCGGCGGCACGGGGACCGCTGGGTCGCGCTGGATGGTGTTGCGTAAGTTGCGTGTCGGTGGCTTGAGGGCAGTGTAAGGCATACCAGGGCCTGAAGGCGCCTGGGGCCTGTCGGGGGATGCATAGCGTGCTCGCCGTCGTGGTGGTTGGGTGTCCGCGTCGGGGGAGGAACCACGAGCATCAGCATGTCGGAAGATGGACCACGGGCTATCGTGGGTGCACTCACGTGTTTCCCTTGCCTCGGTGTCGCTGCCGTGTGCTGTGGCATCCTCGTTAGTCGGTAGGTTACCGATTGCCGCGCCGCTCTTGGAGCCGTCTCGTGGAGACGGGCTGGTCGATCTTGGTGTGACAGACGAGGCTCGCGATACGGCGGCAGTGACTTCGACGATGGCGGCGGTGGTGGCGGTAGTGACATCGGCGACTGCGGCGGCAACTGCTGCGGCGTACTGTTCCTGTAGCAGCGGATGTCGGAGTGCGTGCACATGCTGGTCGTCGTGTTCGTCGGCGAGCGTGCACGGCATTTTGTATGTGGCCTCGTCCCGCGGCCTCCTGCTCGGTTGGCAACAGCGGAGGCACCACTGGGCTGTGGATGAGTCAGGGCCCGCGCACAGATGCGGGCTCCTACGTGTCCGACAGCTCCCTGGGCAAGAAGTTTGGCACCGACGAGTAGAAGACCACACACGACTCCACCCGTGGCAATAGCCCCTAGCTTGCCGCTGGCCCATTTCAGGACACCCCCGAGGCCGACCCCGACTGCAGTGGCTCCGCCCGAGACGCTGTCTCTGAGTTTGACGCTGGTCCATTTGAGAGTGGCACACAATGTGGACGTGACATTGTATGTCGTTTTGCGTCGGGATGTGGTGGACACCGATGGGCCTGGTGCCGTCGCTTTGCGTCGTCGTCGTTGTCGGTAGCTGGGGTCTCGGCTCGGTGTCGGCAAATACCCATCGATCTGGTCCTTGTACGGCATTGCTATCGCGATGGCGTACGTGGCCACAAAGAGGCAGATGAGGCAGCCACAATGTCGTGATGCCGCTGCGCTGTGCTGGGGCTCGTGGGAACCGCTGGCA